CACAACGGGAGTGACGTTATCTTACAATAAGTACCAATTGTTCTATCATAGTTCGTTGTAACTGTCAAAGCTCAATAAAGCAGAAAGGTACGTATCTTACATTTTTTTTAACTTAATTTAAACGAAAAATCAGCAAAAATTATTGCTGGAAGTTTTAAAAGGCACTTACATTATGCGTTACGTCTCGTCTGTAATAATAATAATAATAATAATAATATTAATAATAATAATAATAATCATTATCATAATCATAATAATAATAATAATAATAATAATAATAATAATAATAATGATATATCGTATACAAAATTGTATAAAAAAAGAAGGAATTATCATATATCTTAACAAAAAGGATTTACGTACTTTTACATGTACATTACCTTACATCTGCTGTTTTATTCATTTCGCAATCAAATACAACATAATATCTGTTAAACTGATAAAATAATAACATTAATGATAATATAATTATATTTGATCACTCTGACAAAAAGAACATCACGAAGTAAAAGTATTTCTTAAAATTGAACTATTAAAGAAGGACTGATCTGTAGTTTGGTAGACTTAAACATTAACTAATTAAGACTTACATGCAATGTGATAAACATGGAATAATTTAAGAAAATTAAAATTGGACAAAAAAGAAAAAACATTTTCTTTCAGAATAAATAGTTCAATCATTTTTTATGAGGTTATTCATTTGTGTTATTGGTGTTTTAACTGAGCCGATGCCTCCAAATCTGTCTTTAAAATATCTCGAGGTAGACTAAAAGTTTTTATAGCAAGCAGCTCTCGTCAAAACTATGTTCAAGCCATTTTTTCGAAAAAATTACACGGAGATTAAATGACACACACACACACACTGCGATAAAACAAACACTGAAAATTGAAAATTACACACTGATATTTCGAAAAAGACACACTGAGAATTGAAAATAACACACTGATTTTTCCCAAAAAGACACACTGAGAATTGAAAATAACACACTGATATTTTAAAAAAAGACACTCTGGGATTAATAAAAATTCGTAAGGGTTCCGCGGAACCCAGTGTCTCGCCTTCTTTTGCTGTTAATCGCAGGCTCAACAAAAATGAGGAAAAAAATTAATAAAAATATTCCTCTCTATACTATCTTTTGATTGTAAGTAGCTTCTGCCCAAGTTTGGTAAAATCCAGGATAGTTTATGAATCTAATAAATGCTTTAAAAACTTAAACTGCAGACTGTATGTAATGTTAACTGGAAGAAAAACTAAGCCCATTTATAAGTAAAAAACGGAAAAAATGGAACAAAATTTTAACAAAATTTCCTTCTACATATTAGCTTTTAATCATAAACAATTTTCTGTCCAAGTTTGGTACAAATCCAGGATAGTTTAATGATTAAAGGTGATAAATAGCGAACACTGACCATAAGCATTTTGCAAATTAAACATAAAGTCTTGGATGCTGGTTGCATATTAAGATATTTCATAAATTAGTAAAGTATTATTAAAAGGATACGAAAAATTAAATTTAATCATAACAGTTAAAACTATCATCATGCTTCTTTCTCCTCCCAGTTAGAAGAAACATTTACCTTGCCATTTTCCTAAATCAAAACGCTAATGCGCTTTAAAGGCAGTTCCCTACAGGTTTTGTGATTTTATAATCCAGATCAAACATATTATTTTTCAGGAAAGGCTAACAACATCACAGAGTTAGACATTCTTCAATTACTATGGCATGGCAATGGTAATGCTACATGTACATTGCATTTCCAAAGAACATAGTATTGCATGAGTATATAAATGCACTAATATCTTTTAAATTAAAATTTTACCAGCTACAGAGCAACTTAGGGTTGATTTTTTCTAGAAACAAATTGATTTTGATATATACTCAACAAAGTGCAATATTTGAATATTTAGGGTCAGTTTTGGTTTTCCTTTATTGTGGTTATTCACATCTCGAGTTTTAATTAACACCTTCCATTTCATTGTGAATCTGGCTTGGGGTAAATTTTTTCTCAAAATCATTGAGTTATATGATCCATCTCCAAATGTCCAATCTTTCCAAGAAAATTGTTATTCTTCAAAAAATTACTCCAAGCAAAATTAATTTCCAAGTTAAAATTCCAAGTATGCCTCCAAGAGATAATTATGTCAGGTCAATTATGTTTGTGTTTGTCAATGCCTAACTCCGAGAAAATCTGATACTACCACATTTTGTTATGTATGTTAGTAAATTTGATTCCGATAGTGATTACAACTATGGTTGGATTATGAAAATCCTATACTTGTACTAGTGGAAATATTGCTATGGAAGTTACCATGCACTTAGGTTTACTTAGGAATATTTAAATACCAACTTCAGTGTTCAAGCAAAATTACCTTGATGTAATATTGGTAGATTAAATAAATTACACATCTTTCAGTTAAACTATATATATACAAGGCTTTGGCATGTCTTCAGGAATATTTGCATTCTTTGAAGGATCAAGGTTAAGTCGCTCCAAGTTATGCATAGATGGCAAGAAAGTAGGATATAAAATATAGTTTCACGACAAACAAAGAGATGGGCATACCAGCCTGTGTTTGTGTAAGAGGAACATTGTCTGGCACGTGAAGGATTCTAAAAAAAGATAATAGGGTATATGAATTTTAGATACGTAACTTACTGCCTAAAATAACGTTCATATTCATATTCATATACTTCACAGATTTTGAGTTTTTCATACAACCTGCTGCAGTGGTTTGTGTCTGTCTGTTTTTAAAGAAAAAGAAAAATATAAAAAAATACCGAACTCCAAGGAAAATTCAAAACGGACAGTCCCTTATCAAATGGCAAAATTAAAAGCTCAAACACATCAAACGAATGGAATACAACTGTCATATTCCTGACTTGGTACAGGCATTTTCTTATATAGAAAATAGTGCATTAAACCTGGTTTTATAGCTAGCTCAACCTCTCACTTGTATGATAGTTAGGAAACAGTATTGATGATGAATGACCTCATTCTTGGAAATTCAAACACACTCGTTTTAAAAATATTGCTTCTGAATTTTCATATCAATCTAACATACTCAGTGTCAAATATACATTTGTACAAGCTTTATAAAAGTGTTCTTTCTTTGATTTTAAGGTTCAAATGGCCATAATGTTACAAATCCCAGAAGTCTTCCAAAACTGCAGAAATTCAAATGACGATAGAGTACATGGTCAAGATATAATAAATTCTACCATGCATGGAAAAATTTGGGTAAACAGTCTTTTTGAGTTACAATTATTAGATTGTTTTGTACAAACAGAAAGACTTTGTTCCTAGAGGTGTATGTGGTCAATAAAACTTAGCAATAACCTTAAAACGAATATATATACCTGCCTATTTTTTAAAATTATTCGACATGTTTTCACTTGGATTGTGCATGGAAAGTCATTTACAAGGGAGTGCAATTTTTTTAAGTATTTATGTCATAAATTGTATATCTTCTTTTTTCTTTGGTATACACTGCTGATGAATTTTGATGAGCATTTCTGTCATTTCTATATTAAAAAAAAACCTTTTCAACCTATTGAGTGGTAGTAAAAAATAGATTACCTGCAAAGATACTGACCGTTGACATATGTTGATGCATTTAAAGTCAAATTTATTACTTGAAGAGAAAGACAACGATTGGCACAATTTAATTTAACAAAACTAAACCCTTGTTTTGTTTATGTTGTTCAACTTCATATTTGATTTGGCTTTCTTACTGTTTGATTCAAGCACCACTGTAGCCATAATGCACTTCTGACGGTCCAAATTATAAGCCTTGTGTTTTTGATTAGTTTGTTTTATCCGGCGTTGGAATCAGTTAGTGTAAAAGTGCAAAAAAAATAAAACAATAGACCCTTTTTCTTCAGATTCAATTCGTGATAATGAAGTACTCCTATCCATGGTTCATTACATTCATTCAAAGTTTAAGGGAGATATTGAAGCCTAAAATTTAGTAATGTCTGAAAAACTTTAACATTAGACTATATAAAAATGTAAATAGCCAACAAAAAACTTTACATTTGAAAAAATAATTTTAAAATTTTGCTCTGCATACTGTCTTTTGATGATGATGAACAGAATGCACCTAATGAACTTTCACAGTTTGATGTGTTTTGTCATTTGATTTTGCCATGTGATTAGGGACTTTCCGATTGAATTTTCCTCGGAGTTCAGTATTTTTGTGATTTTACTTTATACCATAGTAGACATTTTTTGGGCTGCAGTTTCAGTAATGATCAACAAGATACAAGAAAAGCAAGATTTCCTCTACCAACAAGTTACCAGAGCAATGTGTTGTATACCAAACTCCAATGCAAATTGTGAGAGTCTGTAGTATGTATAAGAAGATACACACTGAGCACAGGTCATCACTGGACAACTCAACATTCTTGGTCAATGGACTTACTCACCACAAACCGCATTTCAGACTGTGTCTTCTACCAGCTCAAACCAGACTAAGACTTGTTGAAGACAGACAAGAAACCATGTGTTGCATACAACAAATACTGTGGGAATTAGTGTAAGTGACAATTTTTATATTGCTAACAATGTTAAGGGTTGAAAATGTCATTACTTAGTGCTTTCTACTTACAATGACTTAGTGCAAAATAAATATTAATATAGCTGTGTTAATATGTTTTATCCTTCTTGTGTATTATTGTTATGCATTGTGTATATCTCCTGTAAATGATAAAAAATTTTATTAATACGACGTTGTGAAGCAGGATCTGCTTACCCTTCCGGAGCACCTGAGATCACCTCAGTCTTTAATTTCCAATGTTGTGTTTTGTATGCTGTTGTTTGTCTTTTGGTCTTTTTCTATTTTTTCCATGGCTTTGTCAGTTTATTTTCCACAAATGAATTTGCATGGTCCCTTTGGTATCTTTCACCTCTCTTTTACCTTGTTTATCTTTTCATTACAAAGTTCACATGCATATGGGGTATACAGTAATGAGGCAACATAAACACAAGGACAACTCAAATCAATTGTTTGTCAATTTATTTTGAATATGTGCAGTGACTATACAAATAAAACAAATGAGACGAACTAACATCTGAATACAGAATGATACATACAGCATCAAACCAAGTATACAAGATACAAACCAATATGATCCTGAATATACCTTTTTGTCATGTTATGTTTTCTAATGATTATTACCCACACAATCGGTCAGTATTTGTGATCTCATATCACAGTTAAAATCCCTCAAGGAGGATTTTAAAAGTTGGCAGGTCTGCACTTGGCACTAATGTAGGCTAGGCCACTGTGAATATATCAATTTCTAATTTATTAACAATTTTATTAGAAAAGATAGGATTTTCAGTTGCAGTTTGATGTGAGTTCAACATGTCGTATTCAACAACATCTAACTCCAGTTATTCATTAAGTCCTTTTTATTCTTAGAAATCCGCTCAACCTGGAAACCAATCTAAAATAAAGAAAACAAATAATGAGTTGAATGTCAATAATAAAGTATTCTAGGATTAGGAGTATTATTTTGTAGGAACCTAATTTTGTAGAAGGATAATGTTATTATGTAATGTATAGTACCATCATTATGAAATTTAATGGGACCTTTTATAGCTTACTATGCAGTATAGGTTTTACCATTTTGATTAGTTTCTTCTGTTACCTATTCTAGCATTGGACTCAGTCTTCTTTCTAACTGAATTTTACTGTGCATTTGGCTGTGTGTTTGTTTATTCCACATTGGCTTGAGGTAAGGGGGGAGGGTTGAGATCTCACAAAAAATGTTTAAACCCGCCCCATTTTTGTGCCTGTCTAAACTGAGGAACATCTAGACTTTGTTAGTCATGTGTGTTTTTTAAAATTTTGGTTCATTTGAATGTTTCTTATTTTAGCGTGGCGTCCTTTACACTGAACAAGTATTCATTATTGTGTAGGGGCCAGCTGAAGGACACTCCCGGGTTTCATTAACCAAATATAGTTGACCTATTGCTTATTTAGTACCTGAGAACAAGACCTAACCACAAAAACTTAACATTGGCCAATGAACCATAATGAAGGGTAAAGATTGCTTTAATTTATCAGTGGGAAGTAAAATTAAACATTGCATTGTATAAAGCATTGATTGTACTACAATAATGGACAAAGGAAGATAACTCCAATTTTAAAGATGACTCTACAATGACATCATTGATATGTTTAGAACAGACATTACCGTAGAAAGGCTTGTATAGTTCACACTGGTACATAGTCCGCACCCCCTTCTCCCCACGAAATTTTAGGTAAAAAAACTTTTTGTAACTGTTAGAAAAGTTCTAATGAAACTCTGGTAATTTCAAATCCTTTGCGGTCGTTTACGGTATTTTCTTGGAAAAACCTGTTTTCCATCATCAAACAGAAGCTGAAACTGCTTGTAAATGATTCTAGAACGCTTTATGATTGTTAAAATAAGTTTAATTCACTTAAAAAACAATTTAGAAACTTGTGTATGTTTAAACAGGAAGTTTAAAAGCACATGTAAAAGAAGAAATTAACCGGTGAGAGTCGAAATCCGTACATAACAGATATCACTATAATACGACTTTGAAAGTAAAACAGTTCCATCCTTTTGTAAAACAGTCTTTAATATATCTATCACATTAATGTTTGAAGGGTCTTAAGCTAATTCAAACCATATTAGTCAGTATGAAACACCAAAACGGAACAAACAATAACCGATTACATTTTGTAGTTTACAAATTCTAAGCTGGTTTACGGTTGTCTTTTTCACTATGTTTGTATCGTTTCAATCAAGCAGATACCAGTTTATTTCAACCAATGCATTGAAAAGAAACGAGTAATTTGTAATGAAAGGTTTAGTTTTTATATTTATCAGTATTAATTTGATATTGAATAGAAATAACTTATTAATATGGATGAGTTAAAATTATTAGTTTAAAAAATGATAAGAGCGCCCTCTACAATATAAATAACAAAGATGGCGGAACGTAAACAAACCACCTCGCCCGCGAAATTGAAATTTTTCTCTTATTTCTTGCTTATTGTACTTTATAGTCCACACCCCGTCTGGAAGGTCCAATTTTGGAGAATAAAACCGTGGACTATACAAGCCTTTCTACGGTAGATTCCTGCACCTTGCACAAGTTATGTAATTTTCTTGACAAGTATAACATCATTTTGTAACTATAATATCTGAGCATATATTTCATTAATAATTTCTGGATAGGATGTTTTAGAGTGTTATGATCAATGCACTATATTTTGTGTATCTCAAAAGTAGTGATAAACCTCGGAAGATTTAGAAATCAAGTCAGTAACATAGGGTTTTGATTGCAATCTTTACCCAAAAATGAGGTCAAAGTCGAATGAACCTTGCAAGACAGACACGTACACCTTACAATCATTCCATACACCAAATCAATTGAGGTGTTACTTATAATTTCTGAGAAACAGATCTAACCACATAAACTTAGCATTGACCAATAAACCATGAAAGTTGGGTCAAGGTCAGATGAACCCAGACAAACAAACAATAGTACATCTTATAATCATTCCATACACAAAATTAATGACCTTTTGCTTATAAATTATAGGACCAGAGAAACAGACCTAACCACAAAAACTTAACATTGAGCAATTAACCATTAAAATGGAGTCACAGTCAAATAAACCCTTCCAGATATATACATCTTACAATCATTCCATACCCCAAGTATAGGTTACCAACTGCTTATAGTATCTGAGATAGACTTTACCATAAAAACTAAATAATTGATCACTAAAGAATTCATGGAAGGTCTACATATCCATCAGACATGTAAGCAATTATAACTATAGGCAACCATAAGGCCTTCAAAAACGAGAAAACACCATACCATACATTTGGCTTTATGAGGCCCTGACATGAAAAATATGAAATGATTCAATTGAAAAAACTAATTCATAACAAAACAATTTAGGAAAAACAAATATGACATACATGAACCATTTGACATCATTTTACCAAATAAAATTGTCCTATCACTCATAACAGGTTGGTAAACTAGCTTTTTCAAGCAGTACCTGAACCATGAAAATGACTATGGACATATGAGAGATGGAAACCTCAGAATACAAGGCATTTGTTATCACAGTAAAGTATCCAGGTCTTTTACCTTCTAAACAAATAAAGTTTTATGCACATGGTTTATGTTATTTTTACCTTACCTATATTTCTATTCATGAGACTAAGCTTAAACAATGTCTCAAGTAAGATATCCCTATCTTCCTTTACCAATAGATCTAAGGGTTTTCCATAATGAATTGTTGCTTTGTCTTCATCTGGAACAAGATCCCAACTGTTCTTAAGTCTATTAACATGATGCTGTGTTATATGAAGTAATGTCATAACAACCTACAAAATATGAAGGAATTAGATAATATTTAGTCTGCCTATTAAACAAGTAAACTAAACAAGAAAGAAAAATTAACTAGATGTGTCGGAACGAATGACCCCATTCGCAAAATCAATAAAGTGGAACCAAACGTAACCTCAATCTGTAACTCATCATTGTTGACACACATACTAAAAATCAGCTCAATATGTGGAGGTGTTTAGAAAAAAAGTCCATATAACTGCTATTTTCATGAAATTTTCGAAGTCCAAAGCCCATAATTTCGGCATAAATCAGCAGAGCGGAACCAAACATAACTTGATCTGTTACTCATCATAGTAGACTCACATACTAAAAATTAGCTCAATATGTGAAGGCGTTTAGAAAAAAAGTCTGTATAACTGCTGAATGAGGGAATGATGGAATGAAGGAATGACAGATAAGGGTAAAACTATATGGCCCCGACAACTTTATATATAATTTAAAATGTTCACATCATAATGAGTATGTGAACTAAACATTGATGTTACTTATATTTTATGGTAAACTACCTTTGCCAAAAACTTGAACCTTATACATGTTATACGGGACGAACGAACGGAATTTCAACATAATACAACAAATTTTATTTCTACATAAAACAGTTATCAAGTTAAATATCCCAATACCTGTTTACTTTATGAGGTATATCTCAATACAAGTAAACATCTCTGTATCTCTCCTCAAAGAAATAGATAGAAATTGGGAAGGCCCCAATCACGCCTGCCCACCAGAAGTTCTTTGAAAATCAACAGGTAAGCAATAGTAAGCAATAGTAGTTTCCATTGATACTGAACCATATATGTTAAATTGTCATTCAACTATACATAGTACTAGGGAACTGCATATATATATATATATATATATATATACATATAAAAGCACTTTTGATTTCAGGTAATTTTCTTCTGAAAATATCTTATGCCTTGCTCCCCTGTATATATCATGTATATAAAGTGTTGCCACCAGGAGCCATGTAATTTTAATAACATTTACTGTTATTGAACAAGTCATCTTTCCACTTTAAGGTTTTCTTAAAGTAATAAAATCTTACTTTTGTTCCAGAAACAATCATCCCTGGCATGTATGGGTTAAAACAGGAATCTTCCCACTCCAAAAGAAGTTCCCCTGCATGCTGCCCTAAGACTGCTGCATCAAGAAAGGATAGTTCATGAATGTCAGCATCTTCGTTTGTTTCTGAGCATCCTTTTTCCGATCTTGTCTTATGTTTATATACTGGATCCTTACTGTCAGAATTTTGTTTTATCTGAAAGATTTGAAAAGCATGTCTGTCATGTTTGTAAATGAAAGGCTTTGAAAGGTACAGATACAGAACAATATGAGACTGACATATTGAAGATGTTAAAGAGTCTAAACAAGAGTATATTCTGATAAGACAGCTTGGACACAATATTATAGCTTATGCAGTAAGTTAAATATAAAAAAGAAGATGTGGTATGATGGCCAATGAGACAACTCTCCACAAGAGACTAAATGACGCAGAAATTAACAACTATAGGTCACCGTACAGCCTTCAACAATGAACAAAGCCCATACTGCGTAGTCAGCTATACAAGGCCCCCAAATGACAAATGTAAAACTATTCAAACTAGAAAACTAACGGCCTTTTAATTTTTTTCTTTGTGTCTGTGGGTTGACACATTTACATATACTCCATGTCTCCTTTTATGCATAGGCTCAATAAACATGGTAATATGAGCTACAAAACAAGTCAAAAGTTATAAAATATTAATTTTATGGTCTAATCAGCATGGACAGTGCATGTGTTGTACAATTGACAGTCAGGGGAATAATTTAACTAAGTGATTTTGAAATCACTAGTTTAAGTACATTATTGCAAATATGAGTTATCTACCTTTATTTCAAGTCTGAAATCACTAAAATAAGTAGAACATTTAATGCAAAACATTCTTTATAAATAAAAGAACCTTTGTGAGCAGGCTAACATACCCCCAGCCCCACATTGTCACTGAGTAAACAAAATTTAACCAGATTCCTAAGTTTAAAGACTCATAACTCCTACAAAAGTCAACTGGTGAAAATTTCCTGAGTATACGCACATCTACATATTATGTCCTCAGTAACTAAAAAGTTCATGCAATTGTGTTGAGTGATTTCAGAGGAGTGGTGCTAAAAAGCTATTGCAGTAGTTTATTTAGGTCAGAATTTTATATTCAAAGAGGCATTACACCTAGAAAAAACATTGAATCATAATTTCTGTTGATGTGCACATCTACATACTATAATAAGTATGTCCTTATTATCTACATTAAATTCTGGTGTGTGATTTCTGAGTGATGACAAGAACAGGATTGACCGGCGGGACAAAAACATTATACATGTACCCTATGTAACTTTGCTGCATGGGATATAATTAGAGGATAGTGGTGCGAGCAGCGCAATAATATCATAATACACATTAGAAGTAATCAGGGTTATCATGGTTTATACCAAGGGATGGCAGATATTTTACTGAGGCACCACTAATTCATCTCCTGAACTACAAGGGGTTTTCAAGTTAAGAAAGCTCAATTGTTGTACATCTATGCACAGGGATGGCCTAGTTGAACTTAGTTTTTGAACACAACTTTCAATGTACATTTTCTTCATTGTACTCGACACACCTTTTAGTTGTGGTGAATAACTGTGTCAAGTTTCATTATCCAATTCCAAGGGTTTTTAAATAGTGTATATATATGTGTATGTAACTTGACCAAGACTTTCTCTATATGGTTTTTTTTTACTTATATGCGACAAACTTTCTCCAAGTGGTGAATAATCATTCCAAGTTTCAGTACCCAACTCCAAAGGGAGTTAAAAGAGCGGAAACAAATTTTGAACATATATATACATGCAGGCTTTCTCACATGTTATATATAATTAAAGATCATGTAAAAGTCTGATGTTTGGTCATGCCAATAAAACTCAAGGTCTTTGTTCCATGTGTTTAGCTCTAATTGTATCTACATCAACCAAGTAATATCAGTGAGAAAACTCCATATCTCCCATCTTTTACAGTTGTGTCATCCCTAACTTTAACAAATATCCAAGGATGTAAGAATTTTCATTTCTGATTCTGAGGCAAACGTGCAAATTTACTAGAAGTCTTTAACTTCAAACAAGCAGGGGTAATAACCTGAGTTATCTTACATCCATTAGAGTTTTTGCCCTTTAAGTAGTTTGAAAGTGGCAAAATTTTCAAAATGCAAATTTTTCTAAAGATTCTTTTTTATTTTTGTTTGGTGATAACAAGCAAGAGGCAGGGTCTTAGAACCAGTAGGTTTATTTTACATGGTCTAATAAACCATTGGTATTTTTTTAGCAACTTTTACCTCGAACAAGAAATCTTGTAACCTTAAAATCATGAGAGATCTTCATTGTGGAGACTAAATGATGATCTTCAATGCAAGAATTATGCTATAAACCAAATGAGGAGGGTTGACATGAAAACATTGATAATAGAAACTTCATAAACTTCCTAATTATATATTATATAAATAACACATAGCTGAGAGGGTGATAGAGCATTGTGATCCCGAGAAAACATTGTCAACTAAGGCGAAGCTATGTGTTATTTAATTTATTATACTGAATGTTCTGTTATTACTGTTTATTTAATTTCAAATTCAAAGTAATAAACTATGACCTCCTGTATATACAATCATCCATATTTATTAAAGCGCACACTTGATCAAGCGTTTCCGTGAAGGGTAATAGACTATTTGCCATGGGATAGAGTAAATTGTCTCCCTCTTATCAACCAATCAAAATCTGGCATCTTGATATGAAGTATAATAAATCTAATTATTTACCTCTATTACAGAGACAACTAAATGGGATAGCTGTTGTGATAAATCATCTTCGTCAGTATTAAGTAATGTTCCTTTTAGTCTTATGTCTGGTCTGGATACAACATCAACATTATTTAGGCACATCTCACTATCATAAACATTTCCTAACCTGTAAAAATTCTTAGATTTTAATAATAAAAATTATTTTTTGAACGCTTTCATTTGCAAAAGGAAATAATATATACAACACTAAAAATGGTATTCATAATTTTATTCTACGTGTATGTAAGTAATTCATGTGTTGTTTAAATGACAGTCTGCCTAAGGACCAGGCAGTGACCAAAACATGAATGTCTCAGATTTTGATGAAAACTTGCTTAAATCATCTGAATAACATGTTATAAAGAAAAATATTGCTTTTGAGACCATTTAGATCTGGTTGCCATGGAAACAGGGCCATTTGATTTTTCCAAAGCAACAAGTTATGGAGGTCAACATAAAACCCTATGTTTTTCACTATTTCAGTCTCATAAAATATGCTGTTTGTTTTAAATCTAGTATTTTTCCATTGTACTGCAACTTTTTCAACTATCAAGTATAATGCTTGAAGAACAGCTGTTTTGATGAAATACCATTTCATTCTAAAAATGTAATTAATGATTTAAAAATTCCAATGTCCCAACATTGCACATATTTCATCTGTCCATGGGCAATAACTAAAAAAAAAATCTTTAAATTGTTTTATAAACATCTTAAAGAAATGAAGGCTTGAGCAAATGTTGAGTGCAAATGCAATGCAATTTCTGATATAACTAATATTTCCAAGGGGTATAACTCTTTTCAAAATATTTGATCTGCACTGATTTTCGAAATGGTCCAAGACATTGCTGATATAAACCATGTTAACCTTTGATATACATTAGTAAAAATCTGGCAAAAATTGTACACATGAGAGCGCTTACAATGCAAATTTCCTTATAATGAATATTTCCAAGGGGCATAATTCTTTTAAAACTAATTGATCGGCACCCATTTTTCAAACTTGTCCAAGACATTGCTGATATAAACCTAAGACATAAGTTTCATAAAAATCTGGCAGGAATTGTACACATAAGAGTGCTAACAATGCAATTTTCCATATAATTCATATTTCCAAGGGCATAACTCTTTTAAAACTTGCTGATCGGCACTGATTTTCAAACTTGTCTGAGACATTGCATTTATAAACCTATGACATAAGTTTTAAAAAAATCTGGCAAGAATTGTACATATGAGAGCGCTAACAATGCAATTTTCCATCTTATTAATATTTCAAAGGGGCATAACTCTTACTAAAATTGTTGATCAGCACTGATTTTCAAACTTATCCGAGACAATGCTAATATAAACCCATGATATAAGTTTTATAAAAATTTGACAAGAATTGTACATGCATATGTGAGAGCACTAACAAGACCAGTCAGACACCCGATATTTCTATGTCCCCTGCAACTTGTCACGTGGGGGACAAAAATGACTTTGAGGTCTTGAGATTGAAAAATACAAAACAAAAAGACATGTTGGTACAACACAAATGCCATTGCTTGCAGCCATATCACAAAATCAGCTCCAGAGCTGCTGACATTACATAAATGAAGTCAGGACAAGAAAAGTTTTCAAGAAATTGTTCTGTCCAAGGGCTGTAATCCTGCCAAAAGTCTGTCAACCAGAATGTAACACAAACTAGATCTGTAAGTCATCATTATACACTCAATAGACTAAGAGACCAAAAATTGGCATCAGATCTGCAGGCTTTATCAATTTTATTAGACAAAGGGCTGAAACTCTGTCAAAAGTCATGAAAGTAATTCAAATGGAACAAAATGCAAACTCAATTTTGAAGTCATCAAAATGAAATAATGTACCAAAAATTCCAAAAGCACCATGGGCAGTCAAGGATATAACTCTATAGCGTTATTAGAGAAAAATAACATATATTTGTTATTGTGGACTAAAAAATCAAAGAACTGTGATAACATATGTATGTTACATGTTTCAAAGGGACAATATAAATCATTAGTATTGTTAAAATGTATACAAGTTCTATTGATATTACTATTGTCTTTATGTATACTTAACTATAGAAGGATATAACAGTTCATAGTTTGCCAATCATGCATAGTAAACCTATGTTATTACAGAAAAAATATGCCTATAATAACTAAAGGGTGTTATTACAGCTTCTCAACATCACTCCAAAGCATTTGCTCAGACATTCATCATGCTTAGTTACAATGAATTTTAATTTATTGTAAGAAATAATGATCAGAGCATGTAATGAGGTTCTGCGCAAGCTTCCCAGTAATTCCCAAGTGTCTCATATAACAAGTTACATGCCTTTAATAACTAAGCCTTGTTATTACAGCTAAGTTTATCCCTTAAAAGCCTCGTCTCATTGATTTACCATGGTTAATGAAAAATGTATTAATTTAATTCAAAAATTAGTTACCAAGGCTATGCATTTAGTTTCAGCGCAAAGTTTCCAGAGCCCACTAAATATCATATTATGTATGATTTATTTTACAAATAACAAACATATGTTATTACAGATTTAGAAAATTTAAGGATTAAAGAGTAGACAACTCATGAAAGTATCTGTAATAACACATGCAAGTTATTTTCTGTAATAACCCTATAGAGTTATATCCCTAACTGATGGGAGCAAAAGCCAATTGAGGTTTTTTTACTGCTTAAAATAAATGTTATATTTTAGTTAATTGATTGATTGTTGGTCACAGGACGTTAAGCAACCAACAATCAATCAATCAATCATTTGAATTGGTAAACTTAAATGTAATATTCATTTAAAGCAGTAAATAAATCATGCAACTACAATGATTCATTTGAAACTCTACAAATATTTTTTTTTGTATTTTGTCAGAAGTACCGATACATATTATGATGATCAAGCTGACAACAGATAGTCAGGCAACCCCTGATGCATTTTCTTCTAGCCTGGTCTGAAACTTACTAGTATGATTGATTGATTGATTGATTGCATGGTGTTTAACGCCAATTTCAGCACTATTGACTATTCCATGGCGGTCAGTTTTTTTATTGGTGGAGGAAGCCAGAGTCCCCAGAGAGAACCATAGACCTTCAGTAGGAAAACTGACAATCCTAGTCAATGAAGATTGGAGACGAATGCACCTGGATTTGAACTAACAACCTCAGTGTTGACATACTATTGATACAGTAATTGGACTACTAGGACCACTCGTTGACAGAGGCTCCTAGCCTGGTCAAAAATTTACTGGTATGTAAGTTGTTCATATTGTCATACTTACTCATCCTGTAAAAAGCACATTCTTGCAAATGCTCCAACCATTCCAGAAAACATATGCTTTGCTGTTGGTTTCTTTCTGTAGAGTCTTTCTAACATAAATGCAACACGTTGAGTGAAATCAATGGCATAACTCAAAGAAATGTTCCTGAAATAAGATAAAAAAAATATTTAGAAAATCTATCAATTATAGATAAGGGGTTAATTTGCAATTTCAGTCATGTGGACTTATCTGTAGGTATTACTTTGCAGAACATTTTTGCCATTCAATGTTTCTGTCTATCTACATTTGTATTATAGTTTGAACTTTCTGAAAAAAAAAAGAAAAAATGGGTAAAAATCATATTTCAAGGGCAATAACTCCTAAAAGAGGTGAATTGACAATTTTAATCATTTGACTGATTATTTGTAGGTTTTTCTTTTGCTGAACATTTTTGCCATTTCAAGTTTATCTCGATCTATTATAGTTTCTGCAAAAAACTTAAACAAATTCTATATATCTTCTTTCAAGGGCAATAACTTCTGAAAGGGATCTTACTTTGTTGAACATTTTTGCCATTTAAAGTTTCCCTTACAATTTTCCCAAAACATTAAAAAAAAGATAAAAATTGTCTTTCACAGGTAACATGGGTAATAAGGGACTGATTGACAATTTCAGTCATGTTGCCTTTTTTTTAAATCTTGCTTTGCTTAACATTTTTGCTATTTAATCATGTTAATGTTCCTACGTATCTATCAACATGATCAAAGTATCTGCAAAAAACATCAAACATTTGACAAAAAAATCTTCCAGAGGCAATAACTCAAGACTATAAGGGGTCAATTGACAATTTTGGTCATTTGAATTATTCGAAGATCTTACTTTCATGACTTTGCTGAATATTTTTGACTTTCAAGGTTTCTTTCTATCTATCATCAATGATCATACAATATAGTTTCTGCAAAAAAAATTTAAAATTTAATAAAAAAATAGTCTTGCAAGGATATTGACTCCTATGGATGAGGGATAATTGATGATTTGAGTCAGTTTGACTTATTTGTAGATCTTATTTTACTTTACATTTTTGCTGTAAAAAATTCTAATAGGTGCAGGTGACTAAATAAACATGCACAATGGTGCATGAAACAAAATATACAACCTCATCATTTAAAGTTTTATTTTCCTGGAAACTGAATTCTATGATGTACAAATAACAAGAGGCTCCTAAGAGCCTGAATTAGGAGCCTCTTTTACTCAGGCAATCACCTGGTAAAAATATGCCATGTGATATTAAGTTTTACCTTTATTGCAACTGGTTAGGTTTGCTTAATTGAGGATTTCAGTTAGTGGCATTTGTGTATATCTTGTTTTGATGATCATTCTTACTGCTCACATTTTCTAACTATCGACATGTTTTATAGTTTCCGAGAAAATTGGCATTCTTATAAACATTAGTAAAAATTCCTATAGAAGGGAAATAACTCTTATAAGGAGCCATGCAATGGTTTGGGTCATAGTGGCATGTTTGTAGATCTTGTATTGCTGATTATTTCTAATGTACACAGTTTCTACCTATCTATTTTAGTTTTCTAGATATATTGGCAACAATTCAAAAATTAGTCAAAAATCATCATTTACAGGAATAAGTCCTGAAGGAGTCATCCAATAGTTTCAATCATATCAGCTTTTTGTAGATGTTGTAATGGGTTGCTTTTTTTATTGTTTACATATATATTCCTCCTTTCTATACATGTTCTAAGTTTTCGAGATAATTTGGAAATTATAAAAATTAGCCAAAAATCATCATTTAAGGGAAATTACTCCAATATACATGATATACATGATATATATATATGAAATTATACATGTACACTGGTTTTGGTCATATTTATAAGCATTTGTGTAGATCTTGTCTGGCTTTTTGCTATTAACAGTTTCTACCTAGTATCTATTATAGTTTTCAAGATACAGGCAAAAATACGGAAATTAGTCAAAAATCGTCATTTGAGGGCTTTTAAGTACTTGATGAGTCATCCAGTTGTTTGGGTCAAGTGGCCTTTCTGTAGATCTTATATTGCTGATATTTGGTGATTTAATAAAGTAAAGGGTATTGAATATATATATATATATATAAAACGTCTGAATAATAGTCAACGATTTTTCCCACGAGGGCACTGGATCGTTACGAGTAACGATACATGTACACAATAAATAAATTATATAAACGCCTAAAAAGTGTACACAACACCACCAATAACAAAAAAAGGAACTATAAATGTAATTATTTATAAATATTTCGGATAACAGATATCCTTCATCAGTAAATATGATTGTGATGTTGAATGAATCATATATCAGTCTACTTAGATTAAACTATAACAATCTTGAAATTTATACAATAAAAATGTCAAACCGAACATCAGGTAAGACGCTTGCACAATTCTAAATATGTGTTAAACACGACATAGGTTATATGACTAATTACAAAAGAGAGTTCAAATATATGCTTTAAATAAAAATAATAATGTGCGATATGAACTAGCACAATTCTAAAGCTTTAACGGTGACGACAGTTATGATGTTACAAGAACGATTGCGTCAATAAGAATTCCAAATAAACAGCACTGAACGATCTAAATTTGTAAATATTTCAAATTTGACAACGGTAGAGTAGTTACAACAGAGTCTGCGTATTTAAACATCACAAACAAACGGCCGTTAAAATATGATAATAAAATTTGACTAAGGTTAACTAGTTGAACGTGGCTTGGTACTTTTACATCCCTCAAAAAATTAAGCAATTTAAATTGGTATATTCAACAGATTTTAGAGATGAGTAAGGTAAAGAAATAGAAACAGAGACTGTAATAATAAGCAATATAACCCAAATGTGAAGCACTGCATGGAGTAGAACTACATCTTTTCATTTATCCCATTTGGTGCCAAAGTTGTTAATTTTCTTATCCAAAATCTTTCCCGAGTGAGTCTATCCTCCCTAGACCAAGCAGAGTTGTGATCAATGATTGTAATGGTCAGTCGATTGAGATCTGCCTTAGTGTGGCCAGGGGATCTCAAATGTCGACTGAGAGGGAGGTCTGGCTTGCATTGGTAGTCGCTACGATGACCGTTCATTCGTTTGTGAAACGGCTGTTCTGACTCGCCAACATACTGTTTACCACATTTACACTGTAGGAGATACACAACATTTGTAGTCTTGCAATTAACATTGCAAAATATGGTGTATTCTGTACCAGTGGAGTGACTGTTAAAAGTCTGGGTAACCAGTATTTGTTTGCAAGTCAGACATCGTTTGTTTGCAAACAAATACTGGTTACCCAGACTTTTAACAGTCACTCCACTGGTACAGAATACACCATATTTTGCAATGTTAATTGCAAGACTACAAATGTTGTGTATCTCCTACAGCATTGTTTGTACAGTGTAAATGTGGTAAACAGTATGTTGGCGAGTCAGAACAGCCGTTTCACAAACGAATGAACGGTCATCGTAGCGACTACCAATGCAAGCCAGACCTCCCTCTCAGTCGACATTTGAGATCCCCTGGCCACACTAAGGCAGATCTCAATCGACTGACCATTACAATCATTGATCACAACTCTGCTTGGTCTAGGGAGGATAGACTCACTCGGGAAAGATTTTGGATAAGAAAATTAACAACTTTGGCACCAAATGGGATAAATGAAAAGATGTAGTTCTACTCCATGCAGTGCTTCACATTTGGGTTATATTGCTTATATTACAGTCTCTGTTTCTATTTCTTTACCTTACTCATCTCTAAAATCTGTTGAATATACCAATTTAAATTGCTTAATTTTTTGAGGGATGTATAAGTACCAAGCCACGTTCAACTAGTTAACCTTAGTCAAATTTTATTATCATATTTTAACGGCCGTTTGTTTGTGATGTTTAAATACGCAGACTCTGTTGTAACTACTCTACCGTTGTCAAATTTGAAATATTTACAAATTTAGATCGTTCAGTGCTGTTTATTTGGAATTCTTATTGACGCAATCGTTCTTGTAACATCATAACTGTCGTCACCGTTAAAGCTTTAGAATTGTGCTAGTTCATATCGCACATTATTATTTTTATTTAAAGCATATATTTGAACTCTCTTTTGTAATTAGTCATATAACCTATGTCGTGTTTAACACATATTTAGAATTGTGCAAGCGTCTTACCTGATGTTCGGTTTGACTTTTTTATTGTATAAATTTCAAGATTGTTATAGTTTAATCTAAGTAGACTGATATATGATTCATTCAACATCACAATCATATTTACTGATGAAGGATATCTGTTATCCGAAATATTTATAAATAATTACATTTATAGTTCCTTTTTTTGTTATTGGTGTTGTTGTGTACACTTTTTAGGCGTATATATATATAAATGTAAAAATCAAGAACTGATACGATGAGAGCACAAAAACAGACATCCGTAGGTCAAAGAACAATTTCCAGTACAAGGTGAATCATTAAGATTGTATACTTTTTTTTTAATCATATGTACATGATATAGGAGCATGATGAAATTGACTTGTAGCAGTAAATAAAAGTGTTATGAAAGTTTTGCATTATTAAATTTATCTCAGTCACATAAGGTCCCTTTATTGTAGTGATAGATTAACAAAACTTCACATTATTTTTTCAAACGTTTAAATGTGTGTTAACAAAGTTCTCAGGTATTTCAGTCTAATAAATGGAGGAAAGGATTATCATGATTATTTCTGCCTAAAACTTATTCAAGATGTAAAACCCAATTGCAACAACACACAATTCAAACTATCAAATGAATTAACTGTTACCATGGTTACAGTAGTTCACCTTTCAATCAGGAGAAAAATAATGACCTTAAACACAAGTCAATATTTTATGCCTTGAAGCACATTTCATTGGAACTTTGTATTTTCCGGGATGTTTCTCCAAAAGAAAGACTAATAATTCAGAAAGAAATGACCCCATAAAGGTATACAATGCCATAGAAGTGGGAATGACACAACACCTATACATGTAAATCAAAAACTCCATTTTAATTAGATATGTTATTCAATTTTGAAGCTTTAAAGTAAGGGAATAAACCTTCAGTTGGAGCATTCCTATTTGTATGACGTCTAGTTAAAACATGATGTTAATGTGCCAAGATCA